TCCGTGAAGACCTGGGGCTTTGTAGGGTTCAGGGTTTTGGAGTTGGGGGTTTAGGGTTTGGGGCCAAAAAGGGCTGAGGGTTTTGGAGTTAGGGGTTTAGGGTTTAGGGTTTGGGGTTTGGGGTTCAGGGTTTTGGAGTTTAGGGCCTAGGGTTTGGAGTTTAGGGTTTGGGGTTTAGTGGCCTGTCGCTTCGGCTCTGGCGGTGGCGATTCGATTGGTACAGTACGACGGGAGGGGGCTGAGGGTTTCGGGTTTCGAGATTAGAGATGTTGAAGACTTAGGCCCTTGTACAAATCAGCCACTACCACTACAGTGAACTCACGATGCGAACTCGCCTTCGTCGCTACTTCTTCGCATCCACGGTTGAGCTCTCCGTGCCGGCTTGCCGTTCCGGTTCAGGGTTTCGGGTTCTATGCTATGGAATGTCTACTCAGTCTGCTCAGTAACTAGCAATGGCTGCAGCGGCTGGAACCGGGCAGGCGTAGCAGCCCGAATTGCGGAAAATGCTGCTGCAAGCAATACCGAAGAAGCACTTGCATTGGTTCTTCTACCCTGAAGAGAGATTCGAAAATACTGAGCATGATTCGACGACAGGTCTCAGACGGGTCCTTCAAGCTTCGTGATCAAGGGGTCGCAGGAGCTGTGCCACAGTGCTTCAGAGGGTTTTTCCAAAGCTTGCTCCAGTATGTAGCCGATATGAGCCAATTAGAACAGGGTTTGGGGCCCACCATACAATATGTATTTTAATAAAGAACCCCCAAAATGGTATAGGTAATTATTAAAGCCGCATTAAAGCCCCTACATTAGGGCACGTTGTTGAGAATGACGTGCTGTAGTGCAGAGCTTAGTACCAGCCCCCGCGCCCCCACAGAAAAACCCGCCTTGCTGTGCTTGCCCTGGACGTAGCCGAGCCTGGCGGCATGGGATCGGGTATGCGCAAGAGCCCGTGAAGAAGGAGTTTAGGACTTCATGAAGCGGAGGGTTTAGGGTTTAGGGTAAGGGTAGAACTGCAATGTGCCTGATGGGTCCTGGCCGTCCACCTGGCCAAAATTGACTTAGATTCAGATGGCTGTGGGCCAAGGCAGCAGGCAATCGAATCGGAGGCCACAAGCCCATAATCTCAAGCCCTTCACCGCCAAAGCCCTTTAAACCATGTTAAACCCTGTGCCTATCACCGCATCCCTAAACCCCCAAACTCTAGGCTCCTGAATCCTAGATGTGTCAGAGGAAGTGCGTAAAAGTTGCCATAAAGCTTCGCATGGCAGGACCTTAAACTCTGAACCCGGTTTAGGGTTTAGGGCTTAGCTTAAAACCCTGAACCCTAGACCCTAAACCCTGAACCCAAAACCCTAATAAAACCCTGAACCCTAGACCCTGGAATAATTCAGTTTCAGGCGGCTCGGACGCCTACTGATCCCTCGCGCTATCGACTGTTTGCAGCTGAGCACGAGGCAATCCTACACCCTGAAACCCGCAAAGTTCGAAGTCCAAAGCCCCAACATAACCCTTATCTGGGTTGTAGTTTTGGGGCCCTGAAAATACTTAGAAATAGGTACCTCTATAGGAACCATGAGGGAAACTCTCAAGTTTCCCTAGGTGCCACCAAGTTATAGAAACCCGCAAGACCTTGTAAGCACATTACCCCGACTAAAGGCCCGTCTGAAAATCCCTAAAGGCCCGAACTAACCCTCCAGCACTGGGGCCGCCACAACTCTTCCACCTCGTCCTCGGTAGCGTTGCCGCTGGGGAATTCACACTCTAAAAGCCCAAAAATATCAAGTAATGTAGAAGCCTAAATAATTAAA